GGCTCAACCCAGGCCTAAAAACGAAATCCCAAGATACAGAAGAAGCACTTTCAAGCCAATCCCTTTACCTGCCAGGCAAGGCCAGATACCCAAGATTGAGCCTGAGACGCATCGGTCTTTCCAATTAGAGTTCTACCCGGGGATTGACAAAGCCACTTTCACTTTCATTCAACGGTTGGAAGCGAATATGCCAAAGACAATGGACTTCTCCAACCTTCCCCTCTGAGTTTGACTCTGATGAGCTTGAATTCGATCCCAAATAAAGAATAAAGAACTTCCCCAATCGAATCGAGCAGCAAGGTTCTGAAAGAAAAGGCCCGCTTCCTCTGGTTTAAATATCCTGCTGGCTGTTCACGGGTATCAGAATCGGAAGCTTATGAGGATTAGGCATACGATCCTTATTGTGATATAAGAAACTGCTTTTCACTTGAATTCTCCAATGAAATCTGAAATCAATGGTTTTGAGTCCCACTGGCAGATGTGAGAGTTCTCGCCTTCACGTCTTCAACGAAACCAATAACCACTCTGCTCACTCTTCTTTTTTTCGTAAAAAGCTTATTTTGCAGCCCTCGACGTTTGATCATTTTAATCCCACTCCTATATATCCCTAAAGGGGGACTTTGAATTAAAGCGAAAAAGAGGCGATTTCAGGGATATAGCTCGATGTGTCAACGGGCCTTTCCATTCTGATCGAGAAGAATGATTAAACCTCCACATCTTAGTGTCTGGTAGTGACATAACCTTGGTCTTGGGGAGCTCATAGCGCATAAGAAAAACGGGGAGGTTTTTCTTGACTTTCCTTCTTCGTGCCGTCCTTGACAATGGCTTAATCCACTGGACCACCTGGAACTGTTCTTGCCTTTAGGCCAGCCCAATAACAACCTCTTCTGGTACCAAACATCTTGTTTGTTACACAATCATTTGTTGAATAAAATGTCCTGCTACCGACTAGTACCAGCTCTAAATGCACTTTTGCAATGGTCGAAGCAAGAGCCGCTCGTGTTGCTGAAGGCAAGGAAGGACTTCCGGGGAAGGAAAGGGCCCATAGAATAATATTTTCTTACTGAATTGATTCCTAACTGGCGCTTCTTTCTTTGCTTTGAAGCCTTTTCAAATCAAATCAAATCAAATCAAATAGGCTTTGCTTGGTTTGGAATGCACGTTCTGGTAGACCTGGACCGGATACCATTCCTGCTAACGACTTTCAACTCAGCTCTCCTCAACTTCTCATAGTCTTATTGACCACTGTTGCCTAGCCTAGCTCAGTCAAGTTTGACCTCCGCTCTCCTAAAAGGTGAGGAATCTTTTTCGTCTTATCATCTTTACTTTTACGGGAATTCAGATCTTCGTCAAGCTTTCGCAAACCTATCCTTCATCGAGTCCATTCGCTTTCCTATCTTTCAGAGTACCTATTCTATTCTTCCCTTTCCCCTAATCTAGTAATAAGGCATTCTTTCCTAAAGTTAACATACCTCTCCGGTTATCCCTTTCTGTCTACTCTCCGCCTCCTTTCGATAATCTAACTTGGTCCTTTCTTTTACACCTTGTGGAAAGTGGAGTGCATAAGCCCTTTTAGAGTTAGAGATAGGCTTTTACTACTCTCAAAGCGTATCAAAAACCTAGCGATTGAGGTTGAAAGAGCGCTGGAATGTCTTGAACTAGGATGAGTCAAACTTTTGATGTAAAAATGAATTTTCAAATAGGATGGATATAGGGGTATCTTTCATTGTTTCAGTCTATGTCTATTACTTGACTTCTGAGTCAGGAATTCCCTGGCAATCCGAACTGAGGAGAAAGAGCAAGCAATGTGTCCTCGCTTGAAAGGACTAGGGGTCAAGTTCCAGCTTGGTTCTCAAAGAAGGGTAAAGGGGCAGCCTATCTTACGTTTTACTAAACGAAAGAAAGGGGCTAAGTGACTCCTCGAAAGCCGACCCTTATTTGAATATGAAATCCCTAGGGATTCAAAAAGGCAAAAGACTCGGGTGGTTCAAGATCTGCTTCAAGAAGGTCTTCCCTAGTAGCGTCTTAGTTTGACCAGCAAGCATTCGTTCCAGGTAACTGCCTTTTGGCTCGACTATGAGGGTCCAAACGAAAGTGAAAGCTTGGCCAAACCTTACCTTTTCAATAAAGGTGAGCGATAGGAAAGCGAAAGAGAGGGCACCGGACCGGTTCTCGTTATTGGTCTCTTTTACACCAAGAGAAGGAGAAGTAGTTGCTACGTTGCAACCTTCAATGACTGTCTTTTATTATTTCGTAGAATACTCAACAAAGCGGGTTTATGCAACTATGCGAGTAAAGTAGTCGCAAGTTAAAGGATTTGTCCCTCAGACAGCACTGAAGCTCATCACATTTTTGGGAGAAGGTGACACCAAACAAGACTTGAAGACAGAAAACGATAGAGGTTCAAGATTCTATTCATGATTCTACCTGAGTTAAGCCTTTCTACTTAGACTTTAGAGGCGTTGGAGGCCCTTAACCCTTTCTATTTTGCCTGTCGTCTTCACTCCTGTCTCCCCGTTACCTTCCGCTTGTAACTCTCCTTTTGTCAAGTCCTTCGGTACTGTACTTGTGGAACTCCTAAATCTTTAATTCGACGAAAAACGGGCATAGATTCGAGAGAGGGAATGAAAGACGCTCGAGTGCCCTAATATAGATATGGAGGGAATTCAATAAGTAAGGTTGGATTCTCAGAGAGGAGAAACTGGGTTGGCTTCAGCGAGGACACGACCCCTCTTATATCCATCTCTCTTTTTCTTGGCTATATGCCTAGCTAGCACGCTTTTCTTTATGCTTTGTGAGGAAGTCAATCTTTCTTTGATCTCCCGGTTCTACCTCTAGATCCCCTGCCTGCTTTATCCTTGGCTTGGTTCGATTTTTGATTATTGAGCTCTAGAGTAGGGAGGGTTCCCAATTAAAGACAAGATAACGAGTTTCAACTACTTCCCTGACGTTACATGACGATTTAGAGGGTCTGAAGGAGAATGGACTTCCTATATCTCCTAAGACTGCCAAAAAGAGAATAGCAAGTCTTACAAAGAGTGTAACTCCTGATTAAGCTGAGCTAAGAAGGAGGGGCGAAGTGATTAGGAAGATCTAGTAAATTGAGAAGCAGGGATGAGTGGAAGATGACATTCAAAACACCTGACGGGTTGTATGAGTGGCTTGTAATGCCATTTGGCCTATCTAACGCCCCTAGCACATTCATGCGTGCCATGAAGGAGGTACTACGTCCATTTTTTGGTTCATTTGTTGTATATTTTGATGATATTTTGATATATAGTAGTTCTAAGGAAGAGCACTTGAGGCACCTACACCAAGTTCTTGAACTTCTTCAAAGAGAAAAACTTAAAGATTATTCCCTAATCACTTGAGATGCTTGGGAAGCCAGCAGCTGTGCCCTAACTCACTCCTTTGAGTCATTTTTTTTTTCAAAGAAAGCCTAGTTGGTGTTCTTTCGCCTTGCATAAAGTAAGGAAGACAGACTGTCACACGGCCTAAGAGAGAGAAAGAAAAGTAAGTGACGACAGAGCTTGAAGTCACTAGAGGCATTCTACTTCTTGGTTCTTTTACCAGCCAGCCTACGGCACCTGAGCATCTGTACAACGTTCTCATATGATCCTGTGACTGGGCTGGGCCTAGGCAGTTCAAAAGAAGGGTATCGTCAAGACTTCTCGAGAATAGAAGAAGGGGAAAGAAAGTTAATGAATGGCAGAAGGCCGGATTGGAAAGTGTGGTTAGCTTTCTATGGAGATAAGAACAAGGAAGCACTGGCCATGGCAAGCATTGGTTGGAAGAAGAGGGCGGATTGCCTAAACTAACCAATACTACTCGCCTATTATAGAGTGCTTATAGAAAGAAAGCCAGACTATGCAACAGTAGTCAAACAGTTTGGGTTTTTATGGTCAACTATGATTTGGTGGGAAGAGAACCAGGTTGGCCTCCTTTCTTGTTCCTCTGGGTTCTTGGGTTTGCTTATGTGCTTAGAATCTTTGATTTTGAGCCAACAAGGATTCTGGTATGTAGGTGAGTTGTGGATATCCACCAAGGAAGGACTTAATATAAACATTGTGTATTGGTCCTGCCTTGTTGGATGTCAAACTCCCAAGGGTCACTCTCGTCCTCACCCTTCGTCCTAATAAATCACCTTTCGGTTCTTCTTCGAAGGGATCGAAAGAACTACAATTCATCTCTTTTCTCGGACTGTAGGATTCAGACAAGAGTTGTGGCCCGTGGTGACTGGAGTGAGGTTGACTTCCTTGCTCACAGATGACGCTTGGAAACAACAGAATTTCACGCTTCCATCGGAAGTATCTAGGTTGGTCACCCGGAGGGACCCAGTGGAGAAATTGAATTGACATACCTTGGTTAGTCAAAGATTGGCTTAGTGTTCTATTTTTTAGCCATGAAACCCCGTATTTTTTATTCAAAAAGAGATGTGCTATATCCAAAATGAACATAGGGACAGACGTCAAACACCAGTCATTGCATGGCGAAGGGTATTCTAAACACCCTTGTCAACTAGATGCCTTCCACCATCTTAGTCTAGCCTCCAATATACTCATACCTCTCTGTTCAAGAGGTCCTTCATATATGACCTGTGTGTACATCTGAAGTGTAAAACTGGGATGTATTCACTCTCTCTATCTGACACTTCGAAGGAGGGTGTCTAGGGAGAGCTGCTGGTCATGTCATTCTATGGTCTCTCTGGCCTTACCAGGTTCTTTATCAGTTCTGCCAGACTTTTATAGATGGTTTGATTGTCTGTCAGCCTTGATTAGAGGGGCCTGGGGCAGTGACTCGCTTCAGGTCTTGGTGTTTTCACAGTGGAATATTGTAAGATCAATGTGATCTGTTCTATGTGAAGCACCATGCGTGGCGCCTCATCATATTATTGATATTTTATTTGATAAGACAACCTTCGATCAGATGTATGGGGGGTCCCTAGATTGGTGCATGGAGCTCAGAGCTCTCTTTATAGAGGGTTCTGACCCTTTGTGATTATGGGACGTCTCACCGCATCTCATGCCATGAAGAGAGACTTTGGTGGTTCAAGTCCAGATTGTGAGCTTCCCGAAAGGTGACGTAGCTGCTAAGCGACTGTGATTGATCGGGGGCCAAAATGTGGATGGCTGGCAGTCCTCTCTTGTTCCTTCTGGATACTTTGATCTGCCTAATGGCTGAGATCTGTGATTAAGAGATAAAAACTAGATGGAAGTCCCAGATGGACTGGTTGTTCTACAGTAAAGATCGATTATAGACTATTGTGTTTGGTTTTTTGATTTGTAGATCTTTCTGATCCCCAAGCCTGCTCCTTGCTTCATCCACCGTCTAATAGACGTTGTCCCTTTGATTTTATTTTGAAGCTCAAAGGGGGGATGTTTAGACAGGAGTTGTGAATTTGTGGTGACTGGGGTGAGGATGACTTCTTCACTCTCAGATGGCGTTTAACCTATAAGAATTTAGTCTTTGACTGGGGTGATGACTTGCTCCTCTAGCTTTCATACCTGCTCGAGTGATGCAACGTGGCATCATGGCAGGTCACACCGTCATTGGTGTGATATTGCTCTAACTTCCACACTTTCTTCAGATATGACAATTCTATTTGAATGAAGACCGGGTTTGACAAACCACGGCGCCACCCCATGGCATTATCCCATTTAGGAAAGTGCAGTTGTATTTTCTGTTGACATTTGATCGGCCTTATTTTAGGTCCCATCGCTACCAACATTATACAATTGTTGGGCGGGAAGGATTTAAATGAAACCCTTCCGGTGACCAAGGCGGTAGGTGGATTATGACCAAAATACCCTTCCCCTTGTTCATAAACTAGTTGTCTTTCACCAGACCTGCAATCGCGGCTATCTGCCCGTGGTGAGTTTTAGAATGAAAATAGGGGCTTACAGTTTCACTGCACTTTCGAAATAAGCAGTGAACGAATTCATCCGTCTAGCATATAATGCTTTTCGGGACCGCTTGGCCGATTCCCCTTTCTTGAATCCTTGACCTGTTCAAGGTCCTACTTCTATCTACCTTACCAGATTTTGAGTTATATAGGGTAGGCTAGAAACATAAGTGGATTAGGGTTGAGAGATCCACCATCTACTTCCCAGTATTTGGGTCGGAACCCTCTTCTCAAATGCTCCTCCTTGTAGGGTAACCACATGGAGTGGTCCTATGGAGAGGTGCACCTTGGCTACCCTCACTTCTGTATTTTGTATACTGTGGGGCGCCCTTTAATGAGGAAGTTGCCTTCTTGGTTGAATAAGGCAAGTATTATGGATAGAGTTTTGGGGTTATTACCTGCTTGCTCCCACTATATAATTATGTTTTCTAGAGTTACGATAACACAACTGTTCCTTGTGAGGGGTCAGGTGTAGTTCAAATGTCATTTAGTACGCTACCTTTCATAGCTCTGACAGGGTGGTGATGCCCATATCCACCAGTTCTGGTGGGTGTGGAAACCGAAAGTCTCATGTTGTTCGTCAGCACTATGGCATGATCGAATTGTACCAGTGACAAGTGTTTTGATGGTTAGTTTGACATTAGGATCCTTTCAGCTATCTAAGTACCACTCGTTGGAGTGTGGTACTTGCTTGACAGCTGGGATCTTTCCTAGGTGATGGCTGGGACTGCGTTTTCTTTGGAGACACAGGTTTCCATCTGAATTGGAGGAGGCCTATATAAAGAAATTCTTTACAGTCTACTTTGCTGGCCTTGAATCTTCTTTCTTGAGTTTGACTGGCTTAGTAGCCACCTGGGCAACCTTTGACTCTGAAGGGAGGTTCAAGGTGTTGCACAAGCTCCTTGGGGAGCACTTGACTTGGGGGGGAGTGCCCGCACCATTAAGGGAGTTTGTGTGGCTCAGGTTAGATTATGCCATGGTTATCTCCTAATGGGTCTCATCTTTCTACTAAGCAGACTATTAGTTTCAATCTTTTATTGACCTAGTCATTCATCAAAGCTTTCGGGTGAAAAGCTAGGTGTAAGTCCTTATATTCGGGGCTTACCTAGGATACAGAAAGACTTGCTATTTGCTATGGTGAGCGCGGCGTAGGTTGACAACCTTGTCGCGGATGACAACTGATGATAAGACTTTATGGCCGTCAGCCGCAACTAACTAGAGATAGGGGAGGCTGATTATTTGTGTGACATCGATTCGGTGGTTAGAGAGGTTAGTTCAGGGCCCTGATAATCATCACCGGGCGTCTGACACCAGAGCGATCACTGCATTTACTCGGGTTTAGCCTAGACAACGGTTCAAGGATTATTTTGTCCTTGGTGACGTTTGGCATCGGGAGCGTAAGGTCGTTGTTGAATATAGGAAGATCTTAGGCAATCAGGGGGTTTACTCCAATCGAAAGACTTGCTTTTCCATAGGGATTGAATGTCGGATTAATCACTTCACGGGAGAGAACGCGAGGGATGAGCGATGATCGACCTACCGCTCCGTGGGTTTGTACTAGTAGATAAGGTAATTCATGAGTTTGTATTACAATCAGAGGGAGGAAAAGCAATGACCAGATGGTAGTGATCAAAATCTCCTAAAGAAAGGTAAGGCCATAGTAGAAAGCACTTATCCGCTAAGGCTTCGCCAGTTCCCATGACAGTTGGTGGTGGGAAAGTAGAAACAGTTGTTCTTGAAGCTGTCCCTGGGGAAGTTAGAGGTAAGGGTGTAGGTAAGGTAGTAGTGATCAGATGAACATCTCACTTAGAGGTCAATCAGTCATACATGCCATGTTCAGTCTAATTGCCCTATAGGTCTTACAGACTAACTATTCATAGTGTCAGAGCTAATCAAATTGGGATACCTTAAATAGTCAAGATATTGCCCCTATGTCAGTTGGATTCGTGAAAAGAGACCAACTCCTTCTTTGCATCAGTTACCTTTAAAGGCTTTGGCGCTTTTGTCAAAAATTCCTCAAACTGGTAATGCCGCATCTAGAGAGATAAGCAGAGTAAGGGCCTAAAGACTGTTACCAATAGCAATAATCAGTTTTAGAGAAAGAAGTTCCTTAACAACTCACTAGCATCCTCCTCTGGGCATCTATTAGATAGATGTTTCAAAGAGTGTATTCGTCGCAAACAAAATAACCTATTCAACTATATGCAACATATTCTGTAACAACAACAACGTATTCTCTGCATCTTCGATTTCCTGGTATTCCTAACAAAGGGGCTACGCGGCCAGAAAGAAAGAAATCCTGGACCCCGAGGGTTAAATCAGAGTTTCATCTTGAGCAATGAAGATAGGGAACTTGCCCATTACAATAGCATGATTAAAAAAGCATACGGTTTGTTCTTACGAAGACTAACAGAATTGGATGGGAAGGATGGTTTGCAAGGAGGTATACTGGCAGAGCAGGAAGATAGGCAAAGGGGGAAGCGGCTAGAACTTCTCCTCCAACGTAGCTGGTAAGGCTAGTGTAATACCTTATTGAAGCGGATAAAGCTCAATGAACATTCTAAACTCATGCTAGCTCAAGAGTAGGAAAAGGTATTACAGAAGCGTGCTTTAGGAAGTGAAAGAAAGACGACCTCAACACAAGGAGAATGGATGACGATGAGAACAAGGTGGAATCCAAACAGAGGGAATAGAGGATTACGAACACAATCCTAAAGCAAGTCCCAAGAACGAGGAGAAAGAAGATAGCCAAAGAAAGGCCTACAACCAGAGCCAAGTAGACAGATAATGTTGCAGGGACCAATCTACCTAAGGGGAACCAATCAGTTCCCAAGTCGGTCCAAGCGGAGCTTGGTGATTAGACGTAGGGATTTCTCCTTCTACGGTCCAGCGAGTTAGACTCGTGCTTCACCATAAGGAAGAAAGCATGCTAGAGGAGTGCATTAGACCCCTGTGAGGGTCGTAGGCGGGACGTAGCCATTCACCTTCACGAAGAGGATAGTGCTTTCAGACGGGTTTCTCAATCATGCCTAGAAGATTATAACCATGGAAGCGGCAGTGTTGAGTGCATCCTTTTATTCATACTACAGTACGGTTCAGTGCGCTATCAGTCCAGCAAAGCAATAGCAAGAAAAAGGGTACCAAGCAATCTCGCAAGCTTTAGTTTTCCAGTTCAGAATCCTATGTAAGGAAAAGAAAGAAAAGGTGCAAGGTGAGGAGATATCGAGAGGTAGAATAGGTGAAATGAGTTCAAAGGAATTAGTTAAGACACCCTTCTTTAGGTTTCACACTAAGACTAATGAGCTCTAAAATGATGCTTGGGGATTACTTCTGCCCGTACTGTGCTTCCAACTACCACCCACTACATCAGTATAGTTTAAAAGCAGCAGCTAGCTTTATTGACTCAACTAGAGGGGCGAAGCGAAAGCGAGGTACTTNGTCTAAGTACGGGTGGAATAGCTCATTGTGGAGGGTGCAGAACGTGGCAGGGGCATTGGTGAGTCCAAAAGGCATAACCAAATTCTCAAGGGCCCCTTTGCCATATTAGTAAGGTTGCTTGCTTGTCACACAGGTCGTCTTTGGCTCGTCTCCTTCCGCGATACGCACCTGATAGTAGCCCGACCGTAGATCCAACTTCGAGAAGTATCTCGCGCTTATTGATTAGGGCGAAGAAGTCTGCAATCAAAGTGGATACTTGTTCTTGATGGTTAGGTTACCTTGTTGAGCGCCCGATAATCAATGCACAAGGCTCCCGCTTTTTCTGGAATAAAACAGGGGCTCCCCAACCTTTTCCCCAGCAAGATAGGGAAAAACTGCCTTAGAGGCTGGAATAGAAATAGGCCTCAATGAGTTCCTGAAATTCTTTCCTGAGCTCAACCAAGCCCCTTAACTAATAGATGCTAATTAGGGGGGCCATCTGCTAAACCCAGCCCCAATCTAAGTAAGTTAAGGGGCTTTGGCTCCAGGCTTCAACTCGATCTTGTGGTAGACTGCCCTCCTAGGGGGCACTTGGCAACTAACTCGTGGGGCATGATATCCCAAAATTCCTCAAGTACTTGCTGCACTTCCTGAGAAAGAAGTCGTCTTGGTATTGGATCCGCTCTTCTGTTAGCATGAACATGAATTAGATTCTATTCGTCTTCTTTATTCTTAAGAGAAACCCCCCACCCGAACCATTCTTAAGACCACCAAGCCCTCTCGAATGAGTTCTACTATAGAAGCTTTCAACGTACACCCGGGGACAAATCTTTCACTCACTGAGAAGTGAAAACCTGTGACTAGATCGTCCTGAAGACGGATGCGACGGGAAGAAGTGGCATTTGGAAGTGTTGCTGACTTAACATTTAGGTTTCGGCATAACAAAGCTTGCACTGTCTTTTCGCACTTAGGCGCACAGCGTGCCATTGGTAATGATTCTATTACGGTGCCACAAATTCGCAAGCTAATCCTAAGTAATCGTTGTTGTTCATTGGATTCCGGAGGAACTACTTCATTAGGATTGGGGAATTGCTGCGATTCTTCCTGAATAGCCTGGATTCTCCCGTCGAGAGTCACTTTGAAAGTCTTACCTAAACTCTTCCGACTGAATATGATAAAGCCTATAAAACAACGAGCTACTATCATTTCTTCATTATAGATTGAGATCTTCTTCGAACTTGATGCACAAATAGATGGAATAGCAGCAAATAGCATCTTTCTAGCCTGCATATTCGTGGAACTCAATCTCATTTAGAAAGCCTTATCTCTATCTTTCAGCAACTGAACGGGAAGTGGTTTAGGAAAGGACTTTAGAATCGGATGCGCTCGCCCAGCGAGAAAGGCCCTGACCCTGCCAACCAAGTAAAAATCAAAAAGAAAGAAGAGAACGAAAGGAGAAGAGAACTTCGTTTTTTGGTAACTCTCTAGGAGTCATGTTTAACCTTGAATGCTATTAATAAATTCTACAGCAATAGTCCCTCGGACTCGGAAAGTCATAACGAAAATGGCTAACCCAATAGCAGATTCCGCAGCTGCCACCGTTGGAACCAATGAAGCAAATGATTGACCCATCATATCATCCGAAGAAACGGAAAAAACCAAAAAGTTCGAATTCACAGCTAATAACATTGATTCAATTGGCATTGACATAATAGGAATATTTCGTCTATTAAGAAGGATTCCCCGAATACCTGAAATAAAGATGATCATAGAAAATGTGAAATATTTGATAGGATCCGTTTCGGGAACGTAGAATGTAAGAGAAATTCAAATGTTATAACTCTAGTACGATAACGAAAAAGCCCCCCCATTCAGTTTCCCTTCTTATCAAAAATCCAGCGAAGCAGCTCTTGCAGCCCTTTCTTATCGAATTTACGGGTCTACCCCCCGGCCCGACATTCCTGACGTGAGCAAGTAATGAGATAAGGGCCTACCTTAACCATGTAGCTAGTTTTTACTTCCTATCCGACTAGCATTCTATTATTGTATCTCAATNTTCCTGACGTGAGGAAGTAATGAGATAAGGGCCTACCTTAACCATGTAGCTAGTTTTGACTTCCTATCCGACTAGCGTACTATTATTGTATCTCATTTTTTGTATACCATAATAGTACGCTATCTCCCTCCCTAGATGGAAGGACTGAGTTAGGATAGTCAGGATAGGAGTTCTACTTCTTGCTTTGAGACGTAGCTTCCCTCATGTAGTCATGTAATTGGTAGCTAGCCTTTCCTATCCTATTAGCTAGCTTGACTTCCTCTAGTAGCAGCGTCCTATTTTTTCTTTCTATTATTTATGTCACATAATAGTTCGGTCTTCCTATCTATAGGGATGAGCTTGCTTTCCTTCCTGTGCTTGTAGTGGCATAAGGAAGAGTTTTTTTTAGGTAGCTCTATGTTACTACGGTTGGTTCCGGGAGAAAGGATTTTCCCCTGAGGCAACTTGCTACTTTAGGGTTAGCTCAAGCTAGAACAAATAAGAAAAAATGAGATCTAACCAGCTGGTTGTTCCAGGAAGCTAAGATGGCTGCTATCGACGAGCTGAGGAGAGAGCAAGAGCTGCTACCTATTCTCCTAAAGGGTGAATTTTTAAGATGCCCTCTTTTTATTTGCCTATCCTCTTTCTTACTAGGATTCCAANAGAGCTGCTACCTATTCTCCTAAAGGGTGAATTTGTAAGATGCCCTCTTTTTATTTGCCTGTCCTCTTTCTTACTAGGACTCCTAATTAGCATCCAACAGATCAATTCAATTTGAGGAGAATCTGTTGCAGTTCTTGTTCTTGGATGTGGGATAGCGCGCAATGGGGGCTTTGAGGGCTCTCCCCTCTGTCTCTTTCCCTCGTCTTGTTGTTCTTGTAAGCAAAGGAAGAAATCTAACTCCTATTCCTGCTATAAGAGATAGAGTAAGGCTTTCTTATGGTTATCTCCTCTTTGCATGAAGAAGACAATCTTATGAAGACGATGAAGACAATCATAACATTGTCTTCTGCCCCCCCGCTCCATGCTCATAGCATAGACCATCTAAGTGCTCACGGAGCTCCTCTAAGAAGGTAGCATCCCCCTCACTATCAATACCAATCCCCTTTTATCGATTTTAGGGGGAGTTTCTCAACCGTTTTCTCATTCCGACCCCTGCGGCCATAGCCAATTCTCAGGAGTATCTGCAGTTCACGCTTTACCTGCTCCCTTTTCGTTAGAAGGTCTTGTTCTTCTTTCGCCGAAAGTGGTGCAGGAGGGGCAAGCTTCGGCAAAGGAGCCGGGGGAAGGTTGAGATCGGGAAGTGGTCGGTTCGAAAGGTGAGAAGGAGCTGATAGAGAAGGGGAAGGGGAAACCGATGATGTATAAGAAGGCTGAATCGGGAGATTTTCTTCTTCTACATCATCCTCTGTTTTAGCTGTGGCAATATTGGCTGAAGAAGTTGGCAGATTTAGAGAGTAATAAGCTTGGTGATCCAGCAAAGGCTGTGTTTCAGGGGGGTATTCTAAGACTCATATACCAAGTCTCCTTTGACAATCTGGTCATGAAAAAGAGAGAGTCAAGCATGACAGAATTCCCAACTTGCTATGGTTCATTGACTAAGCTCATTCTTTTTATACTCAAAAAGTCTACCGGCTCTAAGACCGACAATAAATTCCTTTCGTCATCATACATCATAATCAGAATCAGGTCACGTTAAGGTCCCATTCGCTATCATAATGTCGAACCATTTTTCTGTATTAAACACATTCAAATAAAACTTCCTTCTCCGAGGTATATTCTTTCTATGATTATTCCCTCCCCAAGGCAGTGTCTGATTTCTGTTCCCCTTAGGCTGTTGGAAATCAAGCATTTCTTTCAGCTGGTCGATAGTGTACTTCTTTCTTTAACAACCTCTTTGAATTTTGTAGCTCTTCGATCAGCTTCGAAAACTTGGTGATTCCAACCGGGACCAATGCACACCGCATATCATACTGCAGTCCTCTAACTAAAATGGCGACTCACTTTTCGATTAGAGCAGTTCGCCTTCTTGTTATCAAAAAGTCCCTGTCCCTCACTTCAAATGTAGACTCCCGTATTAATATATGAATCATATACAGAAAGTCAACAGCACACTTATTGTATTGGGGCCATGTCTCTTTCAAGAGGGTTCTCCCCGCCCCCTGCCAATATATATGGCAGAGGTTCCATGCTTTAGTCCTTTTTTTTTTTTTTTTTCACTTTTTTGAGTTCGGGGCGCAGGTTCAGGCAAGTGACTTCTGTTTTCTCTATCTTACTAATAATAAGAAGGGGGTGGAGAAGAGCAAACTTTAAATCCATACATAGGAGTGCGTGAGAGCCTCTGCTAAGGAAAAGGATTGAATGCACGTACCTCTGCGAGTGGCATCTCCTAGGCCTATGCTACGATCCGGGGATCTAAGCAAGGTGGCCTGATATGTACTTCCTTTTTGCCAGTTCATCAAATCGCACTCGCCCCCTTATTTGAGTTAGGGGCTTAATAGGCCGATTAAGGGCCCATTCTGCCCTTTAGAGATAAGGGCGACCCAGCTAGTGCCATTTTTCTTTAAGGCAAAAAGTCCTACATATACCGATGGCTCCTTTTCTTAATACCAAAAGCGGAGCGGAAGGAGAACCGAGTGTCTTGTTTTTCGCACTTGGTTAAAATATTTTTTCAAAGGTGTGATGACTCACTCCGAGCCCCCTATAAACATAAAGGCAACCAAGAAAAAACTTTCTCCCTGACTCCCTACCCCATGCTCACAAATTAGAAGCTATATGGGGGGCTATTCATTCCTCTTCTCGGAACTGAACTACTCTTTCTGCCTGAAGCACTTAGGGTGGACCATGAGACCAAAAAGGATGACCTTTATCAATGTCAGCCAGGCCGTTCTCTCCATCCAGGTCGAGCAACTTCTAGTCTTGAATCTCTTTAAACATTATCGCTGCTTTACATTTTACATAAAAAACCTAAAATGGAATGAAATACGAGACGAGCGCGAGTTACGCCTCTTCCTGGGTCAAAGTTCATAGGACCCGCCTACTAGTGGAATTCAAAAGAGAGCTTGTTCTCGCCAACCCATGNCTTTACATCTACATCTAGGGCTCATCGAAGCCCTATTCTGTATATTCAGGAACAGGGCTATCAAATGGTCGACTGCGAAACCCATCAGGGTTAGAAATTCGTATACTTTAACCCTCTATCGGCGATCGTTCAACGGACTACTTTTGCGATGCCTGTCACATGAAGAAGCTCAGCAAGCCTTGCAAGAAGTACATGCTTTCCTAATAATAGGGGCATAGTAATAGTGGTTTGCTGGGTTGGTTTTGCTCTCTACCTTCTCACGGGGGGATGGAAACAAGAGAGGTCAACTGGAGTGGAAGCCAAACGACGGGGCCGAGAATCTGTGATCGATCCGAAGAACCACTGCCAGATACGATTCTGCTCCCCCTTCGTACTACCAAAAAATGAAATTCTTGCCCGGCTTTCTTTCGGCTTAAGAAGGCTGCGGTGAGAGTGAGGATCACTTCGGAACTCTAGGAGAATGGGCGTTTTAGGGCGGGATCTAAAAGCTCTCCAACGTGTTGTGGAGCCTTCGGCCGTGAGAGGAGAGGGGTCTTTTGGCTTCCTTAGGGCCGTGTGAAGCTTAGCTTGCAGCCACGTAATGTAATGATTGTTGTTCGTGGTAGGCGTAGGAGCTGGGCAAAGCAGTAGCAAAGCTCAGGCGGTAATGCAAGTGCGCGGTGAGTGTAGTAGCCCCCTCGGGCTTGCTCCTTGTACAACCAAGCGAAGAGCTAGTGCAGGCCAGAATGGAATATCGTATGTAGTGTAGAATCAGATCTAANTAGAGCATTTTTTCATTTTTTGTCCTCCGATCATTGTCACTTCATGATCTTTTTTTCAGGGATGTCTTTTTTAGTAGAGGTGCATCTTGATCAATTATGACACTATACCTTCCTATACCATATAATGCCGAGCGAGTATAATTCATTAGATTAATTCGAGGTTTTTTGGGGTGGCCTTGGTTGACCGTGGAGGAATTGAACTTCCCATTCAGTCCTTTCTCACCTTGTTCTTACCCATCTAGATGTTCTAGATGAAGAGCCAGACGGAAATGTTGAAGTAGCACAAGCAGTTCTATATCTTCCGGCAGCAGTTGATTGAGCAGGTTATTCTGTTGTTTTATATCGAGATCCTATCCCATAGCTAGCTAGCAGCACCTTTGACTAACAATACCTAAAGCAAAAGCAGCTATGAAAGAGGTTGGTCGAATAAAAGCACGAGTTCCGGTAGACCCCTACTAGTAAAGGGCAAGCCAGCATCTTGCCCGGATTGGGAAGCAGAGGTGGGGGGTTGTCAAGTTTGTTTTGGTTTGAAGTAGGGTAACTTTGCAGAACCTTTGCTTGCGCCCTATTTGAGACTAAGGCAGGTTTGGAGCTGGGAATTTCTATATTTCTTTTTTGTTTCATATCTATAGTTTCGGATATCAATCGTATATGAAGAAAGAGATTGTTGACCTTAGTAGACTAATCTATTCATTGGTAGGGCATTTCCTCCTGTGACCACCTTTCCTACCAAAAAGCTAACCCAACCAAATCCGGGTTTTTTCTAGACTAGACCTTCGGGATTTTTTTAGGGTTCATACATGCATTGATCCAGTCGAAGAACCTGCTCCAGAGCGACTACTCCGCCTAGCGTATCTTCCTGCCCGCCCGGGGTTCTCTCTGCTCGGTTTCACAATCAATCCCAGATCCATCTATTTGAGGGAGGTCAAATTCCGCGCTCTTCTAATTGCTTAGAAGGGTTCAAGAACCCCTTTACATCTACATCTAGGGCTCATCGAAGCCCTATTCTGTATATTCAGGAACAGGGCTATCAAATGGNAAAGAAAAAAGAGAAATCTCCTTTTTTGTATACCAACCTTCCTTTAAAACTGGATTAGATAGGCTTAGATAAGGGTTTGAAGAAAAGAAAAAAAGTTTCATGATTTATGGACTACTGAGCCCATATCCCCTCCAACCATCAAAATACGGAGGGAGATTGAAAAAGGGATAAAGGGATAAGGGGTTTTGCGTTTGCATATAGCTCATAAAGTGAGATTTTAGAATCTCACTAATAAACTACCTTCTTCTCTTTTTGTTTTTTACGCTTGTATAGAGCATTTTTTCATTTTTTGTCCTCCGATCATTGTCACTTCATGATCTTTTTTTTCAGGGATGTCTTCTTTAGTAGAGGTGCATCTTGATCTATTATGACACTATACCTTCCTATACCATATAATGCCGAGCGAGTATAATTCATTAGATTAATTCGAGGTTTTTTGGGGTGGCCTTGGTTGACCGTGGAGGAATTGAACTTCCCATTCTGTCCTTTCTCACCTTGTTCTTACCCATCTAGATGTTCCAGATGAAGAGCCAGATGGAAACGTTGAAGTAGCACAAGCAGTTCTATATCTTCCGGCAGCAGTTGATTGAGCAGGTTATTCTGTTGTTTTATATCGAGATCCTATCCCATAGCTAGCTAGCAGCACCTTTGACTAACAATACCTAAAGCAAAAGCAGCTATGAAAGAGGTTGGTCGAATAAAAGCACGAGTTCCGGTAGACCCCTACTAGTAAAGGGCAAGCCAGCATCTTGCCCGGATTGGGAAGCAGAGGTGGGGGGTTGTCAAGTTTGTTTTGGTTTGAAGTAGGGTAACTTTGCAGAACCTTTGCTTGCGCCCTATTTGAGACTAAGGCAGGTTTGGAGCTGGGAATTTCTATATTTCTTTTTTGTTTCATATCTATAGTTTCGGATATCAATCGTATATGAAGAAAGAGATTGTTGACCTTAGTAGACTAATCTATTCATTGGTAGGGCATTTCCTCCTGTGACCACCTTTCCTACCAAAAAGCTAACCCAACCAAATCCGGGTTTTTTCTAGACTAGACCTTCGGGATTTTTTTAGGGTTCATACATGCATTGATCCAGTCGAAGAACCTGCTCCAGAGCGACTACTCCGCCTAGCGTATCTTCCTGCCCGCCCGGGGTTCTCTCTGCTCGGTTTCACAATCAATCCCAGATCCATCTATTTGAGGGAGGTCAAATTCCGCGCTCTTCTAATTGCTTAGAAGGGTTCAAGAACCCCTTTACATCTACATCTAGGGCTCATCGAAGCCCTATTCTGTATATTCAGGAACAGGGCTATCAAATGGTCGACTGCGAAACCCATCAGGGTTAGAAATTCGTATACTTTAACCCTCTATCGGCGATCGTTCAACGGACTACTTTTGCGATGCCTGTCACATGAAGAAGCTCAGCAAGCCTTGCAAGAAGTACATGCTTTCCTAATAATAGGGGCATAGTAATAGTGGTTTGCTGGGTTGGTTTTGCTCTCTACCTTCTCACGGGGGGATGGAAACAAGAGAGGTCAACTGGAGTGGAAGCCAAACGACGGGGCCGAGAATCTGTGATCGATCCGAAGAACCACTGCCAGATACGATTCTGCTCCCCCTTCGTACTACCAAAAAATGAAATTCTTGCCCGGCTTTCTTTCGGCTTAAGAAGGCTGCGGTGAGAGTGAGGATCACTTCGGAACTCTAGGAGAATGGGCGTTTTAGGGCGGGATCTAAAAGCTCTCCAACGTGTTGCGGAGCCTTCGGCCGTGAGAGGAGAGGGTCTTTTGGCTTCCTCAGGGCCGTGTGAAGCTTAGCTTGCAGCCACGTAATGTAATGATTGTTGTTCGTGGTAGGCGTAGGAGCTGGGCGAAGCGGTAGCGAAGCTCAGGCGGTAATGCAAGTGCGCGGTGAGCGTAGTAGCCCCCTCGGGCATGCTCCTTGTACAACCAAGCGAAGAGCTAGTGAGGGCCGGAATGGAATATCGTATGTAGTGTAGAATCAGATCTGAAGCTCTTTACTAGGGTTGGAACAAGCGAGGAACGAGTGACCACAAGCTCCGCTTAAGCGCTCGACATGCAGCTAGCTTAAAACATGTTCATCATGTGGCCGAGCGAAGCACACCTGTGTAAAGTAGCCTAGCATCACTTTAGATAGGAGCAGAATGGATGACTTACAACTTAAAGTTAGTTCTCCGAGTCGATATATCGTATGACGTAATGGAGATCTTGATCTAGATCTGGTAGTTCACAGAATTTGGGACCTAACAATGTTCGGTTCATCACATGAACTGAACAGNAGATGTTCCAGATGAAGAGCCAGATGGAAACGTTGAAGTAGCACAAGCAGTTCTATATCTTCCGGCAGCAGTTGATTGAGCAGGTTATTCTGTTGTTTTATATCGAGATCTTATCCCATAGCTAGCTAGCAGCACCTTTGACTAACAATACCTAAAGCAAAAGTAGCTATGAAAGAGGTTGGTTGAATAAAAGCACGAGTTCTGGTAGACCCCTACTAGTAAAGAGNCGCCTCCCCCTTTTCGGGGAATGGCTGCAATCACAAGCAAGTGATTGAATGAGTGGAGGGCC